ACACACACACACACACACACACACACACACACACACACACACACACATCACAAACACTTTGCCCAAGTCCCTCTCCTCCCAGCCGTCATTAAGTAATTTGATGGATATGGGATATAGTTCCAAATCTTTTTCTAGACATTGTCAAATGGAAATATGGGCAGAAAATTCCTTTAAAAACCTTTACAGTCTGGTTAGATCATTTGAAAAAAAAAGATTTTAACATAGCTAAGTCTACACGGAGCATTTTCCTGGGGGTAGGCAGAGCCGGATCACTCCGCTTGTGAGGAGTGGCGCAAAGAGGGAGAATTCGGAGAAAGAAATGACCAGGTTCAAGTTGCAGGCATCATGACAAGCAGGGTGGTTCCCTGGGTGGAGACAGCTGGCTGCTCCTTCTAGGCAGCAGCAGTCAGTAGTAAAGGCACAAGGGTACCAACAAAATCACATGATTCCCATGGCAACAGCTGGGACCTGCACAGACATAGCCGAGTCTGAGAGCCAGGTCAGACGAACGCTTGCATTAGCTATAAGCTACACAGGACCAGGCAGACTTAGGCGGGGCCTATGGAGGAATTACAGTATAGGGGATTGTGAGTAGGGCTGTATCAGCCTATAGCTAAGGCTAGTGTTCATCTGACTTGACTCTCAGACTCGGCTACACCTGTTTCCTCAACAAGGACAACTGCTTATATACTGAAAAACAAAATTAATAAAAGGATATACTTTGACTTCTACCAGTTCGTTTTTCTTCTTTCACAATTTTAAAAAATAATTCCAAGGAGATTAAAGCAGGGGGAACCTGGAAAGTCCACACAGCTGTGTGATATATGTCTGCATGTATGTATCATTAGTATGTCTGTTTGGGGTCACAACAACCCTCGAATGCTGTTACAGAAAATCTGTAATATATCCTACTATTCCCGGGTTGGGGAGGGGAAGCATGTGTAAATAAGACTCCTTCACAGATCCTGAACACCTGGAGAAGGCAGGGGTGGGGCACCGGTAACGGTTTCTATTTATTCCTGACAGAAAATATAACAATGACACACAAGCCTGAAGTGATCCAAAGTCAGTGAACAAACTGAGAACAGGCTCCAAGGCCCCAAATCCTGTCCTCTACTCCCGGCGCATGAAGGTCAATTAAAGCCATAATCTAAGTTAATAAAGATTTATTATAACTGCTTTAGAAAAGCAGTGTTAGCATGCATATGGACTGGCCATACAAGTCACCCAAACCCATAGTCCTGCACCTTCAGTTCACAAGCCTGCCAAGCAATGTCAAGTCCCAGAAGATCTTCATCAACACTCAGAAATTCCTGCTCCCAGGGTCTGCAGCCCAGATGTCTTAAGATTGGTGACTTGCCCATGAGGCGAGCACTATAATAGGTGTGAGGGTCACACCAGAGAGCAAAGCAAACAGTAAAGAACAAGAGGGAATGACAGGCGTGTTCGTAGCACTTGACACAGAAATGAGCCCACCGTTGACAAAATTTCATGCAAAGACCCTGGAAGTGTCCAGAAACCACCACCATACAGCAGCCCTCCAAAACTCATCCCAGTGACTCCTACATGCCTAGCAACAGAGACACACAGACCCGGGTGTCATTTAAGCCTGCCTTCTAGGTGACTATGCTCCTCTCTGACCAGTGATGATTCTGGTGAGGCTGCCCCAGCTACCTGCTCCCTCACGGCAGGTGCACAGGCCTGGGGTGGTGGATAGGAACCCAGAGAACAAACACAAACCCTGGACTCCTTTTTAAAAGTGAAATACCCTGACTTGCATGACTGTTTTTTTTTTAACTTCAGAATCTTGCTTTGTGGGAAATATAATGTCCACATGCCAGAGTTAAACAAGCACATTCAAAAATTTTTGGAGACAGCTGCTGCTACCCAGCACTTACACTATTTTGGGAGACAGAACTATGGTGCTGAGCAGGAGCCCTCTGCCAGTGCATGATCTCAGCTAATCCCAAGGGATGCTCCGGATGCTCCTGTCATGTTACAGACAAGGAAATGAAAACTTGGAGCACTTGCCACCCGTTAACTCACAGACACCCCCCCAAAAAAAAAGTCAATTGTAATGCCCAGGCCTCGCTTGACCACTCTCATTTGCCAGTGCTGGAGGTCAGTCTTACCAAAGCTCTTTCCGCCATGCTTCCAGCTGACTCATTATCTCGGCAGAATGAAGCAAGACCCTGACACTGATCCTCTGGTCTTTCTGGGAGAAGCACTAGGATAGATTTATTGCTTCCTTATATCCAGAAGTTAAAGTGCTATTTTTCAGGGGAGCCCATAACTCAAACACTCACAAGTTAACTTGGGTATCGTTTGCCCATCCCTATTCTGTGAGTCTAGACACAAGAAATGCCAAGTTTATCTAGTCATTGAGACCTGGCTTTCCAGTTCTTTAGACGCCCCACATGATCCAGAGGGCCAAACCCGAAATGGTTTCCACCTCTGCAGTTCATTTTAAGCACCTTCAGGGACCACAGGTTTATTTATTAACCCTGCCGCGAAGAATCTGGAATTGAGGTTCTCCAACGGACATGCACTAGGCACAGAGTTTGCAAACACTCTTGTTTCTTAAAAATCCCAACCCCGCCTCTGTGTATGGGAACGCCTTTATCTTTACGCTTAGCAGTTCCTAGGGAAATCATCCGCTTATATGCTTATCTTCTTCCCTCTCTCTCCCTCAGAGAGATCATAAGGGGCCACGTCCTTCCAGGCAGACCAGAGTGCTGATAGCATAGTGGGCAGATGATAGATGCCTACTGAATAAACTCAGTGGACACTCGGAAACAGAAAAGCTCTCCTTGTATAAGAACGCTCGAAAAGACAGAGCCATGTGATGGTCAGCATCTACCACCCTAAGCCTGCAACAATGGCACTGACAGCCACTCATGGCCCAGGCCACCAGTGCATGGCTCTGCGTTGTCATCACTGTCTCAAAGGGCTCGCATTTGCTGAGTGCTCGCTGGACACCAGACTCTAAAGTAGTGAGCTTATCAATCACTTCAAGGTGATTGATTAGCAGCCCAGTAAAGAAAATATTCTCGTTTTCCTATTTCACAAACACTGATGCTGGAAGGGAGAGAGATGAGTACCTTCTGCCGAACAGTAATGCTGGCCGGAGGTGTGGTTCAAATGTGGGCCACCCAGCACCAATGCTTTACACTATGTTTTCCCTGTATAAAGCGTTGCCCTCTGCATGTGCGTTAGGAAGTTTCCTAAAGGATTCTCAATACTTCTAGGATGATGAGTCTATTGTTACTAGGCAACACGACTCTTGGAGGTGAGCTCAGAAAGAATCAAGGGCCATGGGATTAATTCTTGTCCCCTGTTTTGGAATACCAGCATAAGTAGCTGAGTTGGTATGATGGTGCTTTGGGGAGACACCGCTGATGTTCAGTCTGCCTCTTGGAAGGAGAAAAGTCCATGCCCCTAAATTCTCTCATGAGTAATCACAGCGAGGCAATGCCACCATAAATGCCATGGAAGTCTCTGGCTTTATACACAGCAGCTATAATGACCATACTGGTAACTACAGGCTAAAAATGACCTTTCATCGGCTGCTGTAACAGCTCCAGTGCTGGATTTCTACCAGATGACCAGAATGTCACAAATTTCAAAGAAAGGCCCTCCAGATCAAAACAAAAGAAAGTGCTGTTCTACAGCTACTGAGCAGCAAGCATGAGATCAAAGCCTTCCGGGAGAAGACTGACTCCATGAACGGGGAAACGAAGTCTAGCTTGAATTCCAGAATAACACTTACTGGTCATCGGTTCACCATCTATCACTCTCAGACGGACACGTGCTAAAGTTACCTGTACACAGTAGGTACTAAATAAACATTGACGGATGGGTGGATGGATGGATGGATGGATGGATGGATGGATGGGTGGACGGACGAATGGTTGGATGGATGGATGATGGATGGCTAACAAAATAACTCTGGGTGACAGAAATATACCAAGTTCCCATTTCCGAGAGAGTGAACCATGGATCGGAAGGTTACTGATAAGGGCCTTGTTTTCAGGCATCTGATACTTTCTATATAAGGGACAAATATTAAACCCTTAAGGAGACAGTATTTAAAAAACTAATAGAGAAAAAGTTGGGAGGAGGCATTGAAGGCCCCAGGGAAAGGGGTCCAGACATAGTGTGCTTCAGGAAACACAGAGCTTCTGAGAGGCCTGGAAGCAAGCTCAGGCAGAGGAAGGCAGGGGAGCGGATGGCATCAGCTGGCCCACAGTGTCTGCTCTTCTGAACACTCTGCAGGAGGGCAAGGGGAAGAAGCAGGGGAGCTAGGAGAAGACAACTGCCAGGAAGGAGACGGGTAGAAGTGTAGGCAGTTTACAAAGCTCAGCTTCTGGACCCATAAAAAGAAGCAGTAAGATTTACTAATGGAGAGGATGTGAGGAGAG